TGGCTAAGGGTTATGATTCTGGAAAGGCCGTGGATCGATCATGGCAGCAGCTGGACGCAAAACCTTTACAACAATTTTGGGAACAAGGTTTTTTGGGGTGAGATTTTTGGGAACAGTGCATCAGCTTCGGTGTCGTCATTAACCACTGCGTTGGGCCTACACAGACCTGCAGTGGTGCAGGGCACTTCAGGTGAGGACGTTCCTATGACAACTGATGATGCCATAGCTGCCCAGTACAAGCGGCTCAAACATGCTACATACATGGATGTGGTGTCGAAGTGTTCAATCAAGTCGTGGCAGGAGCAGCGTGATAGTAATTGGGAGACGGCAATCCGCAGGTGGCACAGCAGTATCATGTCTTGGTCTGGAGAGGATGCCATCATCGGTTTGATTCAGGGCAAATCTGAATTCAAAGCTCAATGTCAGATTGTGGTTGACATACTATACAACAAGGCTCCTAGTACCCTCCTGAAGCGGTGCAACAGCCTGGGAAGGTTGGTGAACGACCTCCACAAGCAGGGGTGCAATTTTCCTTGCACTGAAGATGAGCTGTATGGTCACTTGACCCGGCAGAGGGAAGCGGGCGCACCACCATCTAGGTTGAAGTCACTCCTGGAGGCCATCACTTTTGTGCGCCATATTTTCGGGGTGACTGCACTGGAGAACTGTATCAAAAGCAGGCGATGCATGGGGGTGGCCACTCCCAAGGAACTTGAGATCACAAAGCAAGCGCCACCGCTTAGGGTGGAGCATTTGAGAGCTCTGCATCACATCATAGAGAATGAAGAGGATCCCTGGAATGTGGCATTCACAGGCATGGTGCTTTTCTGTGTTTACGGCAGAGCTCGTTGGGGAGATGCACAGCATTCAACTCGTGTGGAGTGGGACATGGACTCAGAGGGTAATTTGTGTTTTGTTGAGTGTGCAACAGCTGTTCATAAGACATGTCGTGCACTTAACATGAAACATTCTTTTCTGCCGTTGACTGCTCCTGGTTTGGGCATCAGTGCAAACAACTGGGCGTCTTCATGGAGGCGTGCTAGGCTGGAGTTAGGCATTGAAAATCTGAGTGAGTATCCATTAATGCCTGCACCTGATGAGTTAGGGCATCCTACAGTCAGGCCGCTCAGTTCCAATGAGGCTTGTGGATGGTTGACGCTGTTGCTCAGGCAGAAGGTCGATGTGTTGGGGGTGTCGGAACCTTTGCGCTACACCTCACACTCCTTTAAGGCCACCACACTGTCATACCTGGCTAAGTATGGTTGCAATTTCGAGGACCGTCTGGCACTTGGATATCATGTTGATCAGTTGCGCATGGCTTTGCGGTACAGCAGGGATGGTGCTTCAAGACCGTTGCGGGTTTTTTGGAAACATGTTTAGCTGACATACGGAGTGGCAGATTCTTGCCAGACGAGACCCGGTCTGGCCGCTTTGTGGGGGGCTTGGAGACGACACACATTGACAAGTTTGGCAGCCGGCATGTTGAGTCAGAAGTGAAACAAGAGACAGTCCTGCCTGTTGCAGGTGTTTTTTCAGCAGGGGAGGTTGTGGAAGTTTTTTCTGACCATGCTACAACTTGCAGTGATAGCAGCAGTGGTGATTATGCGGTGGTGTTGCCAAAAAACCCTCATAGAAGTTTAGTAGTTCCTCCTGGAGCGACGGTATGGAAACACACCAAACTGAAGACAGTGCACCTTGCACAGGAGGGCTACTTCCGGGTTCTTGCATGCGGCAGGAAGATCACCGAGAAGTATCAGCAGGGCGGAGTGGATGTTAGGTTTGACATTATAAAATGCAAACAGTGCTTCAGCAGTCCGCTTCTCTGATCTTAGGTCAGTGATGTTTCAATGGCGTAGGGTCCAAAACTGTGAAACAGGTTTCTTGGATGTCCGTTGCATTTCATTTCATGATGTGGCAGTTTCAAGATCGGCTTTGAACAATAGGCTGGTAGATGTTTCACTTTCGAAATTCACAGGTGACATTTAAATCAGGGTCGGACTGTGCAATTCAGTGAACCGATCAACTTGGTCATCTTGCAGTTTGCTGTTGGTCGCATGGGGCTTAGAACAGTGGCTGTTTTTAAAAATTTTCATTTCAGGTGAATTGCTTGGATTGCATGATGGTTGCATAGACTAAACAAGAAAGGGTCTCATGCAAGTGCGGACCTACAACTTAGTTGTGGTAGGGCACCGATAGTCCACTGCGAAATTGGAGCAGAGGCGCTGGACAGGAAAATGTTAGGCAGCCTTTGTGATCAGTTTGTGAGGGTTCAACATGTTGGCATTGATGTCATGTGGGACAGTTGTGCAACATCGCAGTGAGTCCAGTGAAGGGTCAGGCACATGGGAGGATTGGCACAATGGACCCATGGTGCATCCCTGGCATAGGGCTCGTAAAGGCGAGCACGACAAGGTCATTGGCACTCAGACACATGTTGAATGTTTGAACAAACTTGTCCTTAAACAGCTGAGAATGTTGCATTATTCCGTTTACTTTTCCTGTCATACCGTTCAGCATTTTAATTTAAGCCCGACACTCAGACATCGCAGGCGTCATGCATGGCATCCGACATAACTGTCAAGATGAAAAAGAGGATGTTTGTGGTGTCAAACCGTTAGACTTAATTGCATGCAAGGGTTGGCAATTGCTTGTTTTAGGGATTTCCGGTAGACGCGCTGAACATGGCACTGGTGGATTCACAAGCGGCATTTGGATTGCACTGTGACAAGATTGACAGTACAGGATGGTTACGACGTACAATGGGCAGGAATAACCTCAGGACCTTTTCAGACCTTGGGTTCGCAGTTGGAACGCCACAGTCGCCTGCTGCTCAGACTGAGTTTGATCAGTTTTGTGTTACAATCAATGGAGGCACTGATATGACAATTTCAGAGGCTGCTAGGGTACGAAGGCTTCATTTTGAAGCTTGCACACTTATCATAGCTCACACCAAGCAACAGGTGTCATTGGATGCTACAGTTGAAGGCAGTCGCAAGTTGCCCGTGGCTGAAAAACAGTCAAGGTTGATTCAGCAGCAAGGCCGTTTGGCGGGAATAAGTATTACTGGTGAGTTGCAGCCGAGTTATGCTTTGGTGGATTTGGCGGCATCTATGTTAGAGAGCAACGCTGTCATATGGATCCCTCCATCGAAGTGCTCAAAGCGTGAGACAGAGATTCAGTTATCAGCAACCAAGGAGAAGTCACCGGTGATTGCAGTAGAACAACATACACTCAAAATAACGGCTGCTGAGGAGACCATCAAGGTTGACCATAGCACTGAGCTACAGTTGCAGTGGGCGTTGCAAAGACGGGGCATAGCCCTGGATCAATGTGGGCTGATTGACTGGGAAGTGCATCAGCGTTGGTTGCAATACCTTATGAGCCTTCTGACAAAACCGGTGCCAGATGGATATAGCCGCATCCGGGCAGACCAATTGCTGAAAGCAGATCGTGAATTGTTTTTGGTGATGGCGCAGGACTTGCAGCAGTCTGGGGAGAGGCTAAGTGAGACTCCCTCTCCTATGAATGTGGCTATGCCACGGCTCATGACCGACCCCCGCATCACGATGCACCTATTGCCTTTGCCCAGTCATGCGTCCAGATCTTCCACCACACCAGCTCCCGCAGCGCCTGCTCGTCGTGAGACAAGTCAGGCCCCAAAGGGTAGAGGCAAAGTTAGACGAGACGGAAAACCGTCAGCCAAAGCGAAGGCCTTGTGTCCGGCGGAGTTGAAGGAGTACAAGCAGGTGGATGATCAAGGGCGACCAATATGTTGGTCATACAATTTGAAAGGAGGGTGCAAAGAGCCAGTTATGGATGGCCGTTGCAAGAAGGGTGCGCATATTTGCATCAAGTGCAAGAGATCCAATCATGGCTTGGCCACTTGCCGGGCGACCTCCTGAAAAAACGGTTTCACAGAAGCAGCACAGCGTGTCACTTTCAAATGGTTTTTCTTTGGATAATGGTTCAGTGGAAGGCCAGTCGCACAGGCGGCATACCGAAGGTATCATGGCAAATGATTTTAATTTGCACCAGGCCAAGAAAAACTCAAGGCCTTGCAGGCACAACATGCAGCAGATGATAACCTCCCAGTGTCACCACAGGTGCACTTGGAGGCACAAGAGCAGTCAAACAAATTTGCAGGGAAATCATTGTCCAACATACTCATGGTTGAGTTGTATGCAGGGTCGGCACGGCTGTCGAAGGCATGTCAGCAGATTGGTGTGCCAAAGCCTTGCAGATCTGAACAGTTTCCCTTAGGCATACCTGGCTTGGAGGGTCTTGACAAGGCGTGCACAGAGGCGGCAAACCTTCTTTACAAGGTCACTGCAGTGTTGGTCCGCGAAGTTTCAGCTTGCGGTGTGGTTTGTACAATGATAATCCGACAAACAGCCTTTCTGGAAGGTTCCCTATATTGTTGATTTGGTGGAAGACCTCGGTGGGTATGATGTTATTTTTGACAGCTGTTGTCATGGAGGTGCGAGGAAGAAAAAGTACGAAATTCTGGTGCACTGATGTCTGGTTCAATAGCCTGGCAGCGGCATGCCCCGGCAATGGACAGCATTTTCATAAGTCATGGACACCTACAGTAGTGGATGGCAGAGTTCAGTACCCTACGGCTGAGGAGGTGGCCTATCCTGAACTCCTTTGCCAACGCTTAGCCGAGAGATTTAGGGATGCCTTGTTGCGTTTGGGTGCAATTGACGTTGAAACCATGGAGCAACCACAACAGGTTGAACAAGCCTCAATGCACAGGATCCTCATGGACGCTTTGCCGCGGGGAAAGAACTACAAACCCTTGGTGTCGGAATATGGCAGTTATACAACAGTGGTTCACTCAGATAGCGTGGACGCTTCCAGTGCCACTGGGTGCTAAATTGGTACATCAACATTTGTCCAAAAAGGGGTGATATTCGGGTTGATGATGTGGTCTGGCACTCGTCTGTGCCACATTTGGATGCGGATGTTACTGTCAAGGTGTCACAGTTTGGAATCCCCAGGACCCCTGAAGATTTTTGCAGAAGGGATGTCAAATGTGGACATCCGAGGGGCATGTCGATGCACTTGCCTGAAGTGGTAACTGATGTGCTCAGGGAGAATTTGGAGATGGAGCCGGCGGAGCTTGCACTTATACGGTGCAGACAGCTTGCAAGGTGGACAGTCAGGGCGGGACAGTTAAAATTTGCGGAGAAGGAATTCAAACAGTCCTTGCCTGAGCACCTGCAGGTGGTGTTAAAGGACAAGAAGCTATTGTTGCTGCAGGAGATGTTGGAGGAGTTACAATATCCTGATAAGACTTTGGTGCAGGACATAGCGTCTGGTTCAGGCTGATGGGGTGGCAGCAAAAACGGGTGTTTTTCCACAGTGTGTGAAACGGCCTCAGTTTTCTGTTGAGACTCTCCGGAAGTTGTCCCGGGGTTTGACAGGTCGATAGTGAGTCAACTATCTGGTGAAAGATGATGATGGTCCAACGGTACGGCAGACTTGGGAGAAAACATTGGAGGAGGTTTCATTGGGTTATATCTGGCCTGATGAATCCGGGGATTTGGATCGCGTTTTTCTGGCAAAGCGTTTTGGTTCACAACAGAAGGCCGGAAAACTGAGAGTAATTGATGACTGTTCTATAGGAGGCATCAATGGGGCCTTGGGTGTGTTTGAGAAATACAAGGTTCACGCCATAGATGAGACTGCAGCGTTTCTGACATGGGTGGTACAACAGTTGCAGGGCAAGCCGCACTTTGAAGGGTTATCTGGCAGGACGTATGACGTGAAGCATGCGTATAAGCAATTTGGTATTGCAGTGGACGACCGTGAACTTGTACGGTTGGCGGTGAGGAATCCTATCGACCACAAGGTCAGCCTGTTTGGAGTTAATAGTTTGCCTTTTGGGGCATCTGGATCGGTGGGGTTTTTAAGAATCAGCCTCGCCGTTTGGTATGTGGGCCTATTTGTTTTTCGGCTACCATGGACAGCATACATTTATGATTACACAATTTTAGCCGAGACTTGTTGGTGAGCAACGCGTCGAAGACAGTGGACAATTTGTTTGACTTGCTTGGTATAGAAGTAGCCCGTGAAGGGAGCAAAGCTTCGGGTTTCCGAAGCAGTTTAAGAGTTTGGGGGTCGAAATAGACCTGAGAGATTTTTTGCAAGGGCGAAGCTCAATTGGGACACACCCGTGAGAGACGTGAAGAGATTGGTGCCGTGTTGGATGATATACTCCATTCCTCGAGTGTTACTACAAAACAGGCAGAATCACTTAGGGGCAGACTGCACTGGTTTGAGTCTTTTGCTTTTGGTCGTGTGGCCAAGGGGGCGGTGAAGACTTTGGGTGACTTGTCTTTGCGAAGGACAAAGAAGGTACAACGCAGAGATCATGAAGTCAGGGATCTTCGGTTTCTTAAGGAAAGAGTTTTGCAGGCGCCTCCTTTGAAGTTGACCCCCACATCCTTGCTCGCTTGGATAGTGTTCACAGATGGAGCCTGTGAAGGACCCGCAGGAGCTAAGAACGGCAGTGTGGGGGGGCGTGCTTGTTAGCCCTCATGGCAGTGTGCTGCAGTTTTTGGTGGGGAGATCCCATGTGACTTTATGGCCCAGCTCTTGCTCCGGTCTAGGAATCCAATATATGAGTTGGAGGTCATGCCGGTTCTCATAGCTGCTTTGCTGTGGGGCAATACCTGTGAATTTGCGCAGGTTTGCTGGTCTTAGACAATGAGGCTGGAAGATCGGCCTTTTTGAAGGCCTATGGGGCAACAGAAATTGCCGTGTGATGGTGAGAGACTTCACCTATCACGAGATGGAACTTCAGATCAAATCTTGGTTCGCAAGGGTGCCAAGCGCATCAAATTTAGTTGATGCCCCGTCGCGTCTTGAAGACTCATACTTGAGAGATCAAGGGGCGTGCAAAGTGGCCATTGACTGGATGGCAATCAGGGAGACGTTGGCAGCTGTTTTCCAGAAATGGGGGAAGGCACGGCAGCAGACCTAGACGTCTCCCCATTGCCGAGAAAAAAGTGTGGATGCTCTGTTCATTGATCTGAAGAAGCCATCTCAGTTTTGCAGTGCGTTTGTTTTGAACTTTTTGGAGAGCAGTTAATTTTTGAAGAGAGAAGTTGTGGATGAAAAGAAATTGAGGAAAAGGAATTGTTTGAGGAAATGTTTTGTAGCGAAAGGGTTCACGCGAACGTATGATATTAACGGTCGTATAAATATATGACTGTTGATATATAACCCGCGGTTCTCACATTAGGACTAAATAAGTTATTACTCTTTGGAACAAAGATCATAACCTTATTTGGCCGTTGTGAGAAAAGACTTTTGTTGTGCAAAAGTCTTAGCGGGTTTATGGTGAATACGTTGTGAACCAAATCCAAATGCCTTGGAGTGACAATGCATTTCCTCTTGGTTTTCCTTTATTTTTGGTTTCCTCCCTCTTCTCTCAAACTGAAACGGAAAAACAACACGGAAACGAAAACAACACGTGTGAATCTTGTGGAAGATGTGGCACATGTCAGTTTGTTTTTCGTGAAGTTTTGTCTCAGATCAGCATGGGTTTTCATTTACCCACCCACCGCCCAATGCAGTTTCATGTCAATTTGATGTCTGAAATGACTGAATTTCCACCTGATGGTGTTGCTGATTGTGGCACGCGTGGTCAGAGTACTTTGCAGGTCTGTCAACTTCCATGTGATCCTGACAGAGCCCGCACTTTCGTGACAGTGCCTTTGCTGATATCCGTTTTTCATATCTGCCGATACCAATGGTCTGAACGTGGCGTTTTTGTGTACCTCACCTTTCAAGAGCAGACACAAGTGGCATTGGTGAATTGGTCAGCGTGGAATGAGACTTCAGAACGCAGATCCGATGATCTTTTCAATTTGTCTCCGGCAGCGCGAAATCATGCTGGAATGGTACATTATCAAATAGCCTAGCCCACCGTTCAGGCACGGCAGCAGACCTAGACGTCTCCCCATTGCCGAGAAAAAAGTGTGGATGCTCTGTTCATTGATCTGAAGAAGCCATCTCAGTTTTGCAGTGCGTTTGTTTTGAACTTTTTGGAGAGCAGTTAATTTTTGAAGAGAGAAGTTGTGGATGAAAAGAAATTGAGGAAAAAGGAATTGTTTGAGGAAATGTTTTGTAGCGAAAGGGTTCACGCGAACGTATGATATTAACGGTCGTATAAATATATGACTGTTGATATATAACCCGCGGTTCTCACATTAGGACTAAATAAGGTGTATTCGGTATGGTTTTTGAATCCTAGTTTGAAATGCGGAAGGAAAAGAAGAAAGAGTTCCTTTGGCAGCCTGGAGGGTCTGTGTTGCTCATGGGATGAACGAACAGTTTGTATTGCTGTAGGGAGACTGTGACTTTGGATCGTCGTTGTAGTTGTGATTTGAAGATGGCAGAGTTCTTGATTTGTTTTTGCTTTCAAAAATTGAGCTGACAAAATGCATTGAAACGTTGAAACTGACCTCAATGCTAAGCATGGGACATGTTTGGACTTGTTGTGAACTGTGTCACATGTTTGCAGTATTTGTGCATCAGTACCGCGAAGCCATTTGTTTTGCTGAATGAGAGTGTGAGTATCTGGAGTTGTACCGTTATGCTCCTTCATGTCGCAAGATGGAAATTCGACCATTGTGCGCTTCCACTTGGGACAGTTGCTCATTGGATGCCATTTCGATGAGACTGCATTTGTCTTCGGTAGCCATCGAGATTCTGCATTTTGGTGAGCTGGGAATGTTCTGAGATGGAGAGTATTTCATTGGATGCAATTTCAGTAACATTGCGTTTCTGACCTATGTTTTTGCTGGGATCTGCGTTTTCGATGAGAGGGTTGTATACTGGTCTACTCATGGACATCCTGATCGAGATTGAAGCATGTGTGAGCTGTAGATTACTGTAATTATAGTTTCAACGTCAGTTGTGACTTTCAACTTCCGCCGCTGCGTTTATGTGCGGCGACAGTCTTACGTGGAAGGCTACAGTTCCTAGGCCCAGTTGTGTGATCCATTGCAAGATGATGGAAAATGCGGTCTGAGCATTTGCAATTGTTGGTTGGCACATTTCAGTTTTGATGCAGTCATGTGGTTTTGGTTTTAGACGAAACGGAAACACACGAAACGAAGTAAACAATTGAAACACAAACAATTTTGAGTATTTGTGCATGCTCCTTGTTTTGCAGGTAGGTTCTTCTTTGTCAGTTGGTCAGTTGACGAGTGTAGTTTTTTTTGTGAAAATGACTTGTTGAAGGGTTCTTGCAAAACCACGGAAACAGGTTCATTTCCAGAACACCTGCATGCTTGTCAACGGATTTGTTGTTGGATTGGTGCTGCATGTAGCAGGGAGTGCACGATGAACTCATGAGAGCTTGCTTTGTTTTTGGGATGGTGACTGTGCTGATGTCATGTAAAGAGGGACAGTCAGTTTTCCCTATTTTGCTGCTTTGGAAGTGAGGCCAGATTGTGTTGCATGTTGGAACTTGTGATACTGGTTCGCAAAAGTCTGGTATGCTGGTGGCGTCCAGAATTTTGGGAAACAGTCTTGTGAATGATTTGTGTTGTTTAGTGACTTGTGGTGTTTGGCATGTCTTTCATGTTGGTATGATGGAAATGGAAGAATGCGGCTCTACATTCAACAGGGATTGTCTGCCCGTGTCGTCCAAGCCTTGCATCGTAGACTCGAGAGGGTAGTCAGCATGGCAGCTGAAGGTGGACCTCACGTTCATGGTGTGCCGGGGGAAGGTGAACTCCGTGGCAATGATGCGGAAGGAGACCGAGCTGACCGATCGAGATCACCAGCTCGAGCCGCATTGGGAGCCCCTGGAGCCGCGTTGGGAGCCCCTGGAGCAGCGTTGGGAGCCCCTGGAGCCGCGTTGGGAGCCCCTGGAATACCAGCTGCAGAAGGCCGTGATGTGGAGGTTCCTCCAAACCCTGAGGAAGTCATTGAGGATACCAGTGGGGATCCCGAGATTTCGATGATGATGGCTTCAAAGACCTTGGCGCAGAGTATCCTGGCATGCTCACGCCGAATTGCAGCCATGGGGGCAGAGCTGAACCAGGCCATGGAAGGGTACAATGAAGGACGCCTGGAATTAGTGAAAAGCCTGGGAAGTATCAAAGAGCAGCTTGCTCTTCATGCACATGCGGCAACGGCGATGGGTAGTACCGTTACTCATCAAAGCAATGAGGTGAAAAAGCTGCTCGCTGCTTTCGACAAGTTCAGTCACATAGCCAAATGGTCACTGAAAGGCAACAATACCCTTGAAGATAACATTGGCTCTGTGAAAGAAGAAGTGGGAAATCGAGGGGAGAAAATAGAACAGGCCATCAAGGTAGGCCTTGGAGAGGAGGTGACTGGACTCCTTCGAAATCTCATCCGGGTGATCGGAGAAAAGGGTGAACCAGATCCTTCGACGGCCCCAGGGATGCCGATGCCTGAAAGGATGGAAGGTTACCCATCCTTCCCGCTTCCGAATGTTCCAAGCGGAGTTGGACCGGTGGGAACTCCTGCCACACCTGGTATGGCTGGAATGACTGGGAACACGGTTCCATCATCCGTGCATGAACATGCCCCGAAGGGGGCGTCTGGACATGGATCCTCTGCAGGCGGAGTGCCAGTGCATGGAGCCCCAGGAGCCTCGGCATGTGGACTGCCGACTAATGTGCAGCCACCACAGGTGCCGCCTCCTGCAGCGCCATCAGTGACTATGCCAGCAGGAGTGATGACACCGCCTGCACTGCCTGAGTCCCTGTTTGTGGGCTTCTGCCCTATCAACCCTGGGGAGCAGAGGCCGGCCATGTCTATGCATCCTGGGCTGACGACGCCAAGCCAACGGCAAGGGGCTATCATGTCGAAAGATGCAACCAGCGGTGAAGTCCGCACGTTATCCCCTACGCCATACAAGGGCGCCCAAGTGAATGCCCTCATATCGCTTTGGGCACCAGGCGGCCTGGCCATGTTGCGCGATGGGCAACAACAATGTCGTCGGGTGTATCAATAGAGATGCTGGTGCCGCCCTGGGATGACATCTGAGAGAGGCCTGAATATTTTTTGTGAAGGATTAGCAGTTTTCTTTGCGCCAGAGAGAATAGCTAGTATCGGCTAGCTCGAGGTTCACTCTGGTGCACCATTGCTATGACTGTGTCTGTGATTCAGACCTCCTGCACTGCAAAAGGGGGTGAGCCTGCAAGGTTTGATATTGCTTGGGATGAATCAGCTCTGGATTGGAACGGTGTCATGTTTACGTTGAACTTGAGCATGTTTGTGAACTTGAGCATGTTTGTGAACTTGAGCATGTTTGTGAATTTGTTGTGAACTTGTGCATTGTGATTGATTCATTGTTGAGTGTGGTTTGTGTTTATCTGCCGCCGTTTTCCAAATGATGACAAGGCCAGACCTGATTCTTAATTGAGGAGAATCAAAGTAGGTCCAGGCCAAACGTCTGATGGAAACCCTTGGAAGGTTTTGTTTTTTTGATTTTGAGCGTCTTGTGATTGATTTGATTGTGATATCAGTGGATTGGACATCCCTGACTTGAGATACATGTCAGTGTTGTTGAAATTGCTTTGATAGGTTTGCGCATCTTGATGTCAGTGGAATGGATTTCCCTGGCGTTGTGAACATGTTCGTAGGCAGTGATTGTGAAGTTGCTTAGGTAGTTGTTTTCTTTGTTTGAACATGCAATAGATCAACGTTTATGATGGCCAGAATTCATTTGAGGTTTTTGAAGGTTGATGGACTTTATGTCAAAAGGGGGACAAGGTCCAGCCTTGGAAGTTTGCCCTGAGCTTAGTGCATCTCATGCCTAGCGTGCCTGAAACTTAGAACGCTTGGTATCTAAGGTGTTCCAAGCTTAGTGTATCTAGTATATAGCTTGTCCGAGACCGAGTTTGCCTGGTGCATCAATGTATTCGTGTTCAAAACTTTGATACCACGAATATGGTTTTGGACTGTGAGTAGTTGAGGCTGAAGACAGTTTTGCTT